AAGGAAAATTTTGGCCGTGACTTAAAAATACAATGCAACTATATAAATATATGCAATATTCAATAAGACACTTCAAATATAAGATACAGAGACAGAATTGAAACTGAAAGGGTAGAAAAGATGTGCCACTCAATGCTGACCAAGAAGGAGGAGAAGGTTTTTTATTGGAATCATACAAAAGATCCTACAGAACATAGAAAATCACCAGGCCACTAAAAGGCATTATAGGTTATGTGATAAGAGTCTTGGCCCTGATGATACAGCAGTACTCTATCACATTAATTCTAAGATATTCTTTTTATATAATTTTATTTTTATTGAAAAACGTTTTTTTTCATACAACATAGTCTAACCATGGTTTGCCCTCCCCCAGCTACTCCCAGATCTTACCTACCACCCAAATCCACACCCTTATTTACCTCTTTAGAAGACAGGTAAGATATTCTTGAAATGACAAAGTTATGGAAACACAGAACAAATTCTTTGGCAGGAGCTAGGGAGGGAGTAGAGGGAATAATATAGTGGTTGTGGCTATAAAAGTTGTTGGTAGTGATGGAAATGATAGAGCATGCTGATTAGTTATCTTATCTCAAATGGTCAGCCCTGGAAACATATATACAAGAAACATTATACAACTGAGAAAGTTGTATTTAGGAATATAAATACATGTATATATATTACATATTTATTATATTATATCTACACTCATACATGTGCATGCAACAGGAAAAAGAGGCCATGAATTGAAAGAGAGAAAGGAAGCAAATATGGGAGGGTTTGGAGAAAAGAATGAGGCGATAGTAATGATATAAGTATATTATAATCTGAAAAATGAAAGAAACATTTTTTTAAAAACCTAGGTAATGAATGCCTATGATCAGGTGTATGCATATCTGTACTTATCTCAAAACAAAATGTGTCATTTAAGAATTTATAAAACTTTCCATAACAAAACCATAATAGTAACAACTAACAAAGCTCATTGAATAGGAACATTTATATCAGTCTCATTCATTAATATAAACATAAAAACCCTAGTTTAAAATACTGACAAATCTAATCAGAGAAACTTGGAGGTAACTAGTTCTTATCTTAGCAGAGGATACTTGCTGACTACAGAGTTTGGGATATTTATTAAATAAGATCATCCCATTAAAATAATAAATTTTTACCTTTGTAATAGCTTTCTGAATAGACATGAAACATCTCAAGAGTATAAGTGGCATTCACTGACTGAACACAGAAATAAATATTAAGGGTCATTAATTTATCTTCAACCTCATTCAGGTGGCTACATTTCTTTAAGAAAGAAAGGGGAGGAGGCTCTTCTCTCAGTGTAGTTAGGCAAAGAACCACCAAAAGAGTCATCTATACATACTGCAATAAGAGCAAAGGATAGAGACTTCAAGATATGCTGGTTATCGTAACAGATCTTTGTGTTACCCTTCATAATATAACTAGAAAGCAACACTTCTGAACTCCCATTGATATAGAATGTCCATTCTGAATCAAAAAGTAGAATCACATTTATGCTTTCTGAACTGAAGTCACACAAAATGTTATCTCGGTGGCTCCTGTACACAGAGTAACTGATTTCATTGTTGGTAGCTCACAATACACGTTTAAATAGGAAAGCCTTTGAGAAGTCCTTTAACTTTGTTTACCTCTGTCTTCACAAACTTATTTCTCAGCAGCAAATTCCTTAGTTAACAAAATATCCCATTCACCCATGTGTGTATTCTATCAAAAATGGAAAGAAACAGATTCAGAATATAAAACAAATACTCAGGTTTTGCTGTGTTCAGACTTGCTGAGTTCAGACTAAATTCTACATGTTTGCAAGTAACATTAGAATCTACATTTTAAGAAACAACACCGTTTGTAATCACACCAAAGATGAGATTTAGTCATAAATTTGCGTATATGATCTAAGTATATAAGAGTTGTGTGCTAGAAACAGAAAAACACTGACAAAGGAAATCAAAACTTAATTAGAAAACAAATAAACAGATACAGGGAGCTACCATAATGGATCAGCCATTGAGGGAAGGTGCTTATCTGGCGAGCCCGACAACTTGAGTTCAAGTCCCAGAACTCATGTGAAAGCGAAAGAACTGACTCCACAGAACAGTGCTCTTACCTCCACACTTGTCCACACGCATCATGTCCATACACACAAACGCACATGATTGACTTTAAAAAGAACTTTCAGAAGAAGTAAACTTTATAAAATGAACAATAGACTAAAATACACATATGGGTAGAGAAGCATTTGATTAATAACTGTACATACAATAAATGGAAAAGTAAATAATGCTTTCACATAGAACTGAATACCTGGAAACCCCATATTTTGCTAGATAAAGTGAGTATGAATATATATTATAATATATATTAGACCCAGGTATTATTAGACACACACAAGAAAAAGCACAACAAAATATTAATAGCAGTTACTTCTAGAAGCTGTGATCAAACAATTCTTCACTTTATTCTTCATACTTTTCAACAATAATAAACATCATTTTCAAAAGGCACATGAAACAGAACAGTTTCTTCCTTCTAAGAATTCTACTCTGTTCTTCAGGTAGCACATCATTATTAATAATAGTGCTTATTGAGCAGGAATAATGTCTCTAGGCATGATACATTTTGTATTCGTGCAAAAATAATTGTAACGCCTATTAGTCTTAATAAGAAAATGTGCTCAGGTTGGATCATTTTTTTTTACCAAATACCTAATGTTAGTATGTAAAGGAGAATCTGACATGAAGAAGAAAAAAAGACTATAATAGGCACCAAAATGTTAAACCATTAACGAGTTAAGGACAGGAGGATGGAGGTTGGAGGCTAGAAGCAAGGAGATTGGCCCAAAGATTCAGAATCCATCTAATTAAGACGTCCTAGAAGCCAGTCTACATGTAATGCAGTAGATTTTACCATCACCAACACACTGACACTCAGGCACACTGTCAGGCTCCACCATGCAACTGACTTCCACTTCCAAGTACTTTTCTACTCTTTGTTCCGTGAGTCCATTTAGACCTACAGCTGCCCAGTTTCCCCTCACAGGATCTCCTACTCCAAAAATGTCTCCAATAAAACACATGTCTAGGGGACATTTTCCCTACATTATTTCCAAGATCAGTAAATAACAGACGATAGCTTTGCTGGGAGTTAACTGTTTCATCTTCTTTGTTGTAGGTAACATTAGGGCATTCACCAGTGCTGAAAGCTGCTTTCTGGAGAGATCGTTTCTCCTTAAGTAACATTTCTCCCATAGCCTCAAGATTATTGATTTTTATTCCTCTTTTGTTTTCTTCAATTGTATCTTTCCATTTGAACTTTGCAACTCTAATATATGACATCATAAATTGCTTTGGGATATAAATTGTCTCTGAGCTCTGTGAACAAAACACTTATATCCCTTCCAAGAACCCGACAGCTCAACAGGACAAACCTAGGCCATTCCATTGTGTGCTGTTCCTTTTCACACAGATTCAAGTTTCAAATGGCTGTAATGGCCTTTTTTTGTTTGTTTGTTTTGTTTTTGTTTTTGTTTTTTTGACGTGACATTGTGCTCTCCTTTAGTGAATCCCTCAGTGCATGCACTTATATTTGAAACTTTTTTGTAAAGGTTTTCTCCCCTAAACATAAGGGGAACATTCATTATCAATTCATTGGTTGCCAGACTGATGTGTGTGGGGGGGAACACAGTCTTTCAGTCATATTGAGGTTCCTGTCTCAGCTCCACAGAATGTTTAATGACTCTGTGACATCATTTACCCTCTCAAGTCTCCATTTACTTTTATGCAATAAAAGTTTAAAAGTGCCTTTCTCATGGGGTATAATGAGGAACAAATGACATTAATTAACCATGCTCTGTAACTGTTAAAATTTTTCACAATTATTTTTATTCTACTTTGATATATTATCATTAAAAATTACTATCCCCATTGTGCCTGACAGAGTCCAAGAGAAACTCACATAAGTCTTATCGGCAGAGAGCACAACAACATGTCTTCATACGCAAGCTATAAAAGATACACTTGGCTTTATATTGCCCATTAAACTTTCTAAATCTTGGGTTGGAGGCAATCACTTTCTATTTCACAAAGGTCACTTATGATATAACCAGCATAAGCTTGGTTAAATATTTTCTTAATCCTCTTCAAATGACTTACACAATAGAACTAGCTAGAAATACAAACTGTTGGCTAAATATATGGATATGTACACTGTATATGTATATATTTATATGTAATATAAATATGGCATATTTTCCTTTTTTATTTAGATACCATAATTTTGCATATTAATCCCCATTCCCTCTCCCCCATCCTCCCATGCCCCCTGCCAACACCCCCAACCCACTTTCCACCCATACCCTAAGGGTGGTGAGGTCTTCTGTGTGGGATCATCAAAGTCTGTCATTTGTGGGAGGGCCTAGGCTCTCCTCCATGTATCTGGGATGACATAGTATCCCTCCATAGATAATGGGCTCCCAAAGTCCATTTTTGTGTGAGACTATCAATATGCACATGTAAATGCACAGACACAGAGGTATCTATGATGTTCTCTCTCTCTTTCTCTGTATGTGTGTGTATGTGTGTCTCTAAGCTACATGAATGTGTGAATACATGAATGAATTTATGTGTAGATGATAGACTGATGAATTAACCATTATCAAGTCTTCTTTCTTTCATTATTAACCAACAAAATATTTTATTTGCAGATATATATGGATATATATATCCACACATTGATACTCCATGCTTCAGTGAAATATTTGCTAATGTGACCAAATTTACCTTATACTTAATGTTGACTGGATACTAAATATAGGTAAGTAAAATCTAATGTGTATCTCAAAAGACAAGTACTTAGAGAAAAACTATGAAATTTACTGTGAAGGCATCAAATATAATGTGCACATTATCCTCATATATGCAATATATAAATACATAATACATATTACATATATTCCTGGTAGGACTCACTCTCTACTGAAGAAACAAACTGATAGTTTTTTGGATGATGAAGATCCAGTTCCTCTATCAAGCTTCTGCGTTGCCAATCTCAATGGACCATTATTTTATGAACACAGTGACTCCCCACTTTGAAGTTAAGAAATACAAGCAGGCTTCAAATGAGATGTGCTTTCAACATATTCACAAAAGTGATTGTTTTCAAATCTGTTAGGGAAAAAGAGGAGAGAAAATTGAGTGCCTTTTACAAAGTCACAGACATGCTACTGGGGAAAAAATCTATTTTGACCTTTACTCACATTCCATCTGCTCTAGTGACTAGAATGAGTTCACAGGTTCACAATGACTCAGGCTTCATTTACATTCTCAGGAAAATTTGTAATTGGCAACACTTGGCAGTCAAGGTGGAAACCCAAAATGAGTGACAGATTTGGTGAAGATGTCATGAGCTGGGAAAATGTGATGAAGATGCTATCCTGAGCTCATGCACTGAAAGAACCTCAGTGTCCTGAAGTGACCTCAGGACCAACTATATCTTCACAGATTAATTCCCCGATCAAGTGAAGACACGTTGCCAACTTAGAAACTTATCAACTAAAAAATACTAAAAGCAACCCTGGAACGGTGATAAGCCACAATACTCTATATTCTGAGTAGAGGTGTAGGCAAAAACTCCACCCTGAAGATGGGGTGGGGCTCCAGAGGGAGCTTCTCATTCCACATCCATCAACTTGGTCAAAAATGACCATCATCCCCTGTTGAAGAGTTGCACTGCTAGTCCTAGCTGTTATCATCCTCCATACTTGCATACCCACAATTCTACACACAAGCAACCAGGGAAATTCTTTTAAAGCATGAAAAGAAGCATGGTACTCCTCTAGCTACAGTTCATGGAAAGCCTTCTATAATCATCTGAGGTAAAATCCTAATTATATGTCAGGGCAAACAAAGCCCTACTTGATATGAACTTCTATTAGATTTTTATTCCCTTTTCCTACTTTTCAACAGTTTCCTCTGCCTCACCCAACATGACCTCCTTGTACTGCCTCAGACTCTACAAATGCCCACTTGTTTTAGCATTCTAGTACTTGCTAATCTCTCTGCACAAAATGTTCTTCTACCAACCTGCTAAAATAATACCTTCAGCTTGCTACAAGGGATCAATCTTCAGACTGTCTTCTTGTGAACCATATATATATATATATATATATATATATATATATATAGTCCCATATATATTATCCCAATATAATATATATATATTATCCCATTTCCTTTCCTTATAATAATCTCAACAATGTTATTGGCATCAGATGCATCTTTGTGTTGTTTGTTTATTTTCTTTCTTCTCTAACTAGAATGCAAGCTTTTTGAAAATATATTGTTTGTCATCATCATTACAGCATGTCTAAAACTCAACACAATGCCTAACACATAGAAAATGCCTAATACATGTTGTGAATGAATGAACATATCAATATAATTCCTGTTTTCAATGAACAATCAGCCAGTAGGGGTGATCCAGACATGCACGGCTAGCTATAATGCAAGCCAAAGGGATTTAACAAATTATAGGGTAGCACAATGAAGATAAAATTAAATCTAGTTAGGGTTAGAGAAGGGGCAGAGTTTTCTCACACATACTAACATTAGGACACACACCTGGGAGTTTGAATTAGGCTGAAACAGACAGATGAGATTTCAAAAAGAAGAGACACGGGCACCAGTCTGGATCCAGCACAAAAACCTGATTGCATAGAATTGCTCAGTGTGTTCCAGGAACAGCAAACAGTCCTGGGAGAATGCCATGCATGAGCTGAATACAGGGAGGAGGAAACAGAGCCTAGGGAAAAGGGATACAGATTTTAAGGGTTCTCAACTTCTAGAAGCGATGCTGTTTTATGTAGTCAAGAAATTATTTAAGAACTTGTTCAGATTCAGACTCCGGTCAGTGCTAGAGGTATAGAAATGGAATTTCCTGTACCCATGTCCAGGAAGTGTACATCAGAGCACAGCATATACAAATGAATAATCGATTTCAACTATCCACCCTAACTTGCCTAAGTTTTCTAAAACTTAGGGCTCACCATTTAATTATCTAGAATATTCCTTGACTCCTGTCCTTACCTATAAAATCTTTCTAGAAAACTCCCTTCTGCTACCTTAACTCTTCATTTTTGTATCCTATTATTGCTTTATAACAATTAGTATAAATTATTCAGATTAGGGTCAATAGCTGATCTGAAAGGGGAAAATCCTGAAAAAGGCAATTTTCTTCAGAGTAGGGTTTTTGTTGTTATTATTTTTGTTAAGTCTAATCAAGTTACATTAGAGCTGAAAAGAAAGACATCTCATACCTGATGAGTGGAAATCTCCTAATGTTAAGCCAATTGAAATGTGAGTAGAAGAAAAAGTCAAAAAGAAACAACTCACGCCTGATGATTTATTACAACATCATTAAAACATGTAAGGAATCTTTTCTAGATCTGTGCAGAAATTCTTAAAAGAGGAGTAGAGGGAGGAGAGTACAAAGCAGTAGTTCACATGTAATAAAATATAGTGTGGTACTCTTTAGACCAGGATTGATAAGCGTGCAGTTAGATCACAGCACAGGCTTGGATGGTGTGCATTGCATATGCTTATATATTCTCACCAGTTTAATAATAGCCAAATGGAAGAGAATTTGTAACATTCTCTGCTCCCAACCTTCTGCACATCCTCTTCAAGATGTCAAGATGTTAGTTCTGACAAGTTCAAGTCGTAATCATGATAATTAGTATTTGACACTCTGCAGCCTCTTTGCCAACAGTGCATGTTGTTCATTTGTCAACATATAGCTGCAGTATAGAAAATATTTATCACATGAACCACATTTTGAATCATTTAGGAACATTTTCATAAGCTAAACACACTGAAGGGTGCTTCCATTACTGCTTGTTGTTTCTTTCCCCCTCTAAGCTGTCTCTATTTAATTAAGATGTGATTGTCTAAGCTAAACTCATTTAACAGTCCTTTTGTTTATTGAGTTGAGTTCCTCCAAATTCTGCTCTGATATGTAGATGTAGCATTACAAAATTGACTCACTAACCTTAAAAGATTAACTGAGCACTGATATAATTCTCACACAGATAACTACTAGATTCTGCCAGGTATTCATTTCCTAATCACTGCAAGTGCATGAAAAGGATACATGATGGTTCTGTGTAAAGGTTAATTTCTCTTTTATACAAAACAATATGATCCCTGAGATACCACAAAACCATCAGTAAAGTCTTATGATATTTTTATCTAAACATTTATTTTCTCATGGGAGTTCAAAGCTAATGCACCTCTGTTCTTTAAAAAAAAAAGTAACCATTTACCTTAGAACAAATTAATAAAATTTCTTTTCCAGATCAACATAAGGCTCAACTTCAAGAACCTGTGGCACCTATGCTGGTCATCTAATTGAGAGAAAAAAATCACAAATGTTACATATAGTAATGAGGACTTCCATCATGTCAAGTTAAACACCAGCTATTTGTATTCACAAGTTTAATATTGGGCTATTTAAAATTCTTCCACCATGTTAAGCAGTTCAATGGTCTAATTACTGTGACAAGCCTGTATATCAGGACCTGCGAACCTCACTTAGTTTACTTCCTCTTGCCACCAAGGGAAAAAAATAACCAGTTCCTGACACTGCCCCTCTGTGTGGCTTTAATAGCTAATTCAGTATTTCTGACCATGGTTGACCTGTTCCCCTATTGAGAAGCTGCTAAATCACTGCTCAGAGATACCTGGTATTTCCCCCCAGAAGTCAGCTGAAGACTACACAGTATGTACACCCAGACCTGTAGTTCTGAACTTTAATGAAGCATTGTATAGAAAGCAAACCCACATAATCAGGGAAAGCGTATGAGCAATGAGATAACACACTTACAAAAATGACATCACAGCATATTCTTGATGGCAATTCCCCTAAAACTGATTTTCAAGATTTTTTTGCCCCAGAATTCTGATACATTATTACAGTCTTCAGGAATGACCATTTACAGATTAAAAATACTAAGAATATCAGAAGCTTGTGACAAACTTCAATTGAATTGAAAGGGATTAGGTCACAGAAAGATAAATGTATCTTTAAGCAATGTATATCTGATAAATTGCACCTATTCAAAAGTCCACTTCTGACTAAACAACCTTAGAATTAAGATACTTACAAAAGTATTGTAGTTACTTATCTGTGTCGGAAATGGGCTGAATTGCTTTTGCACTTCTGTCTCTTTGCCTATATAGTCCTTCCTTGTAAATAATGCAGAAAAGGAAGAAGAGGAGAAGGGCAAGGAGGAAGAGAAGGAGGAGGGAGGGCAGCAGGAGGAGGAGGATATCATTAATAATAACAATAACTTTTATAAGCATTATTTCTTTTGATCCTCACAAATAAACTAGTGATGCAAGGTTAATTGTTTTACCTTTCAGGAAAGCAAATCCATAGATCTGCTTGGTGGATGGTGTCCTTGACTCCTCTCACCTGCTCTGAGTCCCAGGCTGTTGGCAATGGGATAGAGTTGGATAAAATACATTGTGAAGACTGAAGGCACAGATGTCTGTAACTAGTGGTTCTCCACCTTCCTAATGTTGCAAACCTTTAATACAGTTCTTCATGCTGTGGTGACCCCAAAACAATAGAATTATTTTCATTGCTACTTCGTAACTATAATCTTGCTACTGCTGTGAATTGCAATGTAAATATTGCAAGATATCTGATATGGGACTCCTGTGAAAAGGTTGTTCAACCTCCAAAGGGATTATGGCCCACAGGTTGAGAACCACATTTCACAAACACAAGAAACTTTCTAAAGACTTCTTATAAATTCAAAAGAGTATGTATTTAGTCCTCCTCCTGTTAATTAGAGTAAAATCTACACATACAAAGAATCTGGTCTAACATGAAAAATAAAAGAGGAAAATGTGAAGAAACAATACAGTTCATCTTTCAGCAGATGGGGGATAAGAAAATGCATCTATAAACTGCATACGCAGCTGTACGAATTTAGAGAAGCTCCTCAGTGTCCTATTTTTTGCCCTTTTTTGCCAAACTGTTTTCCAAAGTCACGTTTCTGTTTAGTAATATTCAGGTATTATCATCCTTTTATCTCTGGCATTTATAAGCTATTGTTCTCTAGCTGTGATTATTAGAAGACAGCCATCTACTTAAAACTATTTAAACATATCTGCATTTTCCTCTAGACATCTCCAGTTATCAGCATCTGGTTTCCAGTCTTGTTACACTCATCTCATTATCTTCTTCCTGAATCCATGACTTACACAGCCTGTCTCTTGATAAATGGCACAACCATGCCTACACTCCCAAGCCACAAACCTGATTCCCTGATTACCTTCTTTCCTCTATCATCTGGTCCTTACTTGGTCCCATTGATTTTGTTTCTATGACATTACACTACACACACACACACACACACACACACACACACACACACACACACACTCACTCACTCACAGGCATACATACACGCATGCACACTTTCCTCTAGCTCCATTGCTCTTATTCCATTTGTTACAGGTAATGAGACCTGGAATTCTTGCAAGGACTCTTCAGAAGACCCCAGGGATAGGTCTCAGTTCTTAAGCATCATGCAATTAGTAGTTATTTCATGAGTTGCCCTGCAATCCCATCCAAGCCACATCATACTTCTTTCAGGCCTCCAAATCTCACAGTCTTATTGGTTCACTTTAACTCTTTTGAACATTCTGCATGATGTGCACTTCTCTACCCCACCCCTCTTCTTTTCTATCATCCATTCATGACTACATTCACAGATACCTAACTGCCCTTCTATGCCCAAGTTTCCCTTGCCTTGCCATGGTTATTGGCACTGGTATTACTTGGGATCATTTTGGTTACAATTTCCATTCCATGTTTTTCATGCTTTTTTCTGTAAAGCTTATTTTTATTATTTTATTGGCTACTATTGCAACTTTATTATGTACATTTAACAATAAAATCTAAAATTAATCCTTATCCTAGTCCTTTATTTAACAACATATGAATGCCAAGCACATTTAAATTTAACTCCATTTAAATTCTAGTGCCCATACCTGACCCCTAGATTATCACTGTCATAAAAGTAAATAAAATAAATAGCTTCAAATTAACTTTTAAGGGAAAAAAGAAGTATATGTAACCAGATTTTGTTTTGTTGCTGTTTGTAGCAAGTTAGACACTTTTACGCTATTATTTCACTGAAGCATCGGGTTGTCTCTTGTGGAGCATGGAGGGGAAACTTAGGAAATAATTTTTAAAAAGTCCTTAAGCCGAAGTAACATTAGTCTAAAGCAAAAAGAACAAAAGAATCAGACTAAGGAGATTATTAATGATTTCTGAAACATTCTATCACCATGCACAAAACTCAAGTCCAAATGAATCAAAGATCTCAACAAAAAAATCAACCACACCCAACCTCATAGAAAAGAAAGTGGAAGATACCCATGAATGCATAGGCACAGGAGACTACATCCTAAATAGAACATCACAGACTGAGAGCAACAAATAAAGGAAACCTCCTGAAATGGAAAAGCTTCTGTAAAGCAAAGGACATGGTCAACAAGAAAATGGCAGCCCACAGAATGGGAAAAGATCTTTACCAATTCTACATCTGAGAGAGAACTGATCTCCAAAATATACAAAGAATTCAAGAAAGTACACATCAAAAGACCAAATAATCCAGTAATAAAATGGGGTACAGATCTAAATAGAATTCTCAACAGAAGAATCTCAAATGGCCAAAAGACACTTAATGAAATGCCCAACATTGTTAATC